AATAGATGTTCTCGGGTGAACACCGTTTCAATCCGATCTGATACTTTATATCGATCGATACTCCTCCAGAGTTATCGCTCGACGGCAGCTTATATCGATTGACACTGCGATAGCAACATCGATCGATGCAGTCGACAATCAGATCAATGGACGAATCTAACTAGCGACAGCTATAGATTTGTCTATGGGTTGAAGTTCTCATATATTTGCAAGCAATTCGTTAAGACATCCATAGATTTATAATCGTGATTTTCTGAATAGTAACCTTGAATCTAACTATTTGTTTTCATTGTTTTCAAACCAAAACCTATTTTCCTTAGCAACTTACCATTGCTACTTATTTTATTTACTGTTTTAAACCTTTTTCAACCTAGCTTAATCACTTAGGATTATATCTTTTGTGACTCTAGTTCCTTGTGGATTCGATCCCTAAGTACTAAGATTGAACCTCTTATTTGAGAGAGTAAATCACTCCTTAGGTTAAACATTTGAGTGACATCAAATTAGGCACCGTTGCCGGGGAACTAATATCACTATTAGATTTAATTTGATTCAGTCTAGGTTATTTGTTACTTTTTATTTTTTAATCTTTTGACAAATTTTTTTTTTCTTTTTCTTTTTGTCTCTTTCAGGTACGTGCCCAGCAGTACTAGAAGCAACAAGGACAAGCAACTTTTGTACTCAGAAGATCCCAACAATCTAGAGCGTAGCATCCGCAAGGACATACATCCCGCATCGATCGATACCAACACCTCTTTATCGACCGATACGCGCTTTCCACCGACGATCAACAACCGTTCGTCGACTGATTCCTTCACCATCCCATCAATCGACATCAACAACCGTTCGTCGACCGATACCCATCACTTGACATCGATCGATACACCACACCTTACATCGATCGATACTAACCGGCGAGACATGGTAGCGCCTATGATTCTCATACCCGATGAGAATGGAGACTTGCGTGATCAAGATGGTCACCTGCGAAATGCAGCAGGTCAGAAGCTGAATGATCAGAAGGAGATCATTACTGAAGAAGAGACTGCACCCACAGGCATCATTCAACCTGTAGAAGAGACCAGAACTTTGGCTGATTACAACCGCCCCGATCAGTTCTATTCAAACCGATCAGACAT